CTGGGGCCAGGTGTCTGCTGGGTGTGGTCCTAGGGCAGCGTGGTGTTCCTCAGTGCTGACTGGAGTCACGCAGGAAGTAGGTGGCTGGGCAAGCCAAGGTCTGAGGGCAGCATGTGTTTCCCAGGGCTGGCAGGAGTCGAGCAGAAAGCTTGTGGTGACACAGGCCAAGGTCCCAGGGCAGCATGGCATTCCTCAGTGCTGGCTGGAATGGCGCCTATTTCTGGATTTGGAGTGATGTTTCAAAGCTTCCTGGGTGCACTGGGAATCACCTGGCCCACTTTTGGCTCCCAGGACAGACTGCTGGCAACTGCTTGCCACTTGGAGCTCGCTGGGTATGGGCCGGTTGGGCCTGCCAGGACTCTGTGTCTCCTCTGGTGATTTCAGACACAGGGCATCATCTTGCTGCCCAGGAGCAAAGTTCTAAGGCTTCCAGTGCACTGGAATTCAACCCACACACCGTCAAGGCCCAGGACTGGGTTCCTGGCCCTGCTTGCTGCTAGAGTCCACTGGGTGTGGCCCGGCTTGCAAGGTTTTTCCATGATTAAACCAAGGCAAACTCTTGTTTTCCAATTTATGTCTTTTTATTAAAATGTACGTTTGGTTATTGTTTCAGTCTGAACTCTTTTCATTTTGAGCTGGTCCTGCTTTCAGTATGTAGCTGCTCCCCAAAACCAAAGAAAAGGAGAATTCGAACCAAACTATTTATCCTTCAATTTTGTTGAGCAATCTGTGGGAAAGTTATAAGACTGATAAATTGGGACTGAGCTGACTGAGGGCAAAGGGAAGAAACGAGTCAGATAGTTTACTTTATTAGAATCTCATTGGGAAGATGTGACAAAAATGAATCACCCAGGAGACTACTCCTAGACTAAAATAGATATCAAGGCTCATGTAAAAGCCATGAGAGATGATGCACTAATCCCACAACAAAATTGTCATACACTTCTTGGTTCCTGGAATGAGAACTTGCCGTTTTGGCCTTACTTCCTAGCAACTTGCACACAATGAGATAAATACCAAGATGAAAAGGTTTTGGAGACAGGTGCAGTAGCGTGGCGACATTAAATTGAGAGAAGCGCTTCAGAGGCAGTCTGGAATCTTAATGAGGCCTGGAGAGTTCTCTTTGAGTTTTCTGCCTTGCCTCTGCGAGGGGAATTGATAGCGGGTGGCTTTATGGTTGTTGCCAAGTGCCACTCGAGTTCAGATGACAGCTGTAGGAGAATATGGCTGAGAACTGATGAGATCTTTAGTTATCTAGCTGTCTTTAGAAGATTTTGCATTTGGTGTATCAATTGCTGTACTGTAATGTACAAGTAGGTACAAGTATTCAGAACCAAGCTAGGCATTCTTAGGAGTTTAAAGAAAGTGTGGTAGTGAGTTTTCAGACATATGTCTGTTTAAAAAATCAAATGAGATGAATTATGCAAAAATGGTTTATAAGCCATAGGGCACTAAGCACTATGGATATGTGGATATGTTATTCTACAGAACTCATGAGGACTCAGATACATAGAAAACTTGATAATCTGGAGTCTTTCTCTCACATTTAAGTATCATTCTTTCTTGGTAATGAACACAGCCTTTGCTCCTTCCCCCTAAGCTCTATCTGTATTTTAAACTTTTAATTTTAGGTTTTTTTATTACTGTATGTTTGCAGTACATACATTATATCTGACTGAGGGAATTAGTGTACATATATAACACACATGTTCATTTTCCCCTTCTCCCTTATCTTCTCCTTCCCCTAATCCTTTCTCAACTACAAAATCCTGGCTTCTTCTTTTCTACCATATCTCCTTTATTCTTTCTTTCTTTCATTTATTTGTTTAAACTTTAAGTTTCTTTTATAAGACTAATCATGTGCCATTTAACTTTCTGTGTTTGACTTATTTCATTTAATAATATGGTTTAAATTTCTATCTATTTGCCTGCAAATTACATTAGTTAATTCTTTTTGGCTGAATAATATCCTATTGTGTTCATTTGTTTTTGAGTGGACGAACATTTCATATATACTATGCACCCCGTGGTGTTCTATAGTATAAAGAATACCTAAATCAACCTAAGTAACACATACTTTACAATATATATTGAGAATTTTTTTTTTCGTGATGAGAGCACTTAAAATACACGCTTTTGGTGATTTTCAAATACACAGTCATCATGTCATGGAGCAGATCTCTTGAACTTACTTTTCTGTCTGAACTAAAAATTTTCTTACATTCCTAACCCCAGTCCCTACACTCTGTTTCTGAGTTTTCTTTCATAGATTCCATGTTTGTGGGTTTATACAGTATTTGTCTTTGTGTGCCTTACTGCACATAACATGAGATCTCCAGATTCATCCATGTTGTTGCAAATGACAAGATTTCTTTCTTTCATGAGACTGACCAGTGTTTCGATGTGTACATACACCACACATCCTCTATCCATTCATCTATGACACTTCAGTTGCTTCTATACCTTGGCTATTATAGTGTTGCAATGCATGTGGGAATGCAGCTAATTCTTTATCATACTGAGTTCATATATTTTGGATTAGACTCAGTAGCAGAACCACTAGATTGACTAACAGACCCAACTTTAACTTTTTTAGAAGCTTCCATGCTGGTTTTAATAGTAGTTGTCCTAATGTACACACCCACCAACAGTGTGGAAGGGTTTCTTTTTCTCCACACCCTTGACACTTGATATCTTTACTTTTTTGATAACAATCATTTAAAGAGGCATAAAATATTATCTCCTTGTGATTTTATTTTTAATTTCCCTGATAGTAAGTGATACTGGGTACTTTTTAATATACCTATTAGTTAGGTATATGTCTCCTTTTAAGAAATTTAATGTCTATTTGTAATTTTCTCCACTTTTAATGAGGTTATTTGTTTCTTTGCTATCCAAAAATACTTATTGGAAATCCCATCTTTTATTCAGTGTAGTGTTTCATCTATGTCAAAAATCAGTAGTTGTATTAGTGGGAAAATTTTGGGGTTTATTGTCAGTTTAACTGATCTATGTGTGTGGCTATCACCTATATCACACTATCTTGGTTATTATAGCTGCATGATACACATTTGTATCAGATTGAGTTATTTATTCCACTTTATTTTTCACAAATATTTTAGCCAATCTAAAGCCAAGTATTTGCATATAAATTTTAGAATGAGTTCATATATGTCCATAAAAGACTTTGACAAGATTTTGATAGGAATCCAATAAAACTATAGATCAATTTTGGGAAAATGGACATCTTCATTAGAATGAATCTTTGAATTCATGAACATAGTATATTTCTGTAGTTATTTATGTCTTTAATTTTGTTCTCTAATTTTCTAATTCTTAGGTTATAGAATTTATACATGTTTTCTTAGTTTTATACCTTAGTATTTCATCGCTTTGGAACAATTGAAAATGGAAATTTTTAAAATTAGCTAATGAGTATTCTTGCAGAGAACCCTTCACAAAAATGGTTAAAATAGATAGCCAGTCATAGCTATTATTTGATATTCTGCTTTCTTGTGTGAAGGAGGTACAGCTGTGAGACCAAGTCAGTGAGGGTGGTGACCAACTACAATGTCAAGCTAAAAATAGAAACTTTTGCTCTAATATTTTTGATTGAATAACTGAAGTCATTCTTCACATATATGAGGTTTAGTGGCCTTTTTTCTTTTTCCCTTCTGTTTCTGTCTATGAAAATCCATTGTGGTAGTTGTGAACTCTATGTTTCTATCTAGGGAGGACCACTCTTCTGACTGTATAGTCTGACTAATTGAACAAGAGACAGATTTCCCTGGGCCCAAGAACTCTTCCTTACCAACACATATTGTTCTCCTTGATTATGTAAATATTTTGATGATAAAGATCATTAAATAATGAATCTTATTTCTTCTATTTAAATTCTATATACTAAGCAATTCAGTGAGTTTTCATGAAAAATAACCCAGGTTTCTTAGTCTTCATGAAAAGAAGATTGTCGGCTGTCGGTAATTACCATGATTAGGAAGACCCAGGAATGTGTCTAAAGACAACTTGAATCTCTTCTTCCCTTGTTTGACTTGAGTACAGTCCTCAGCACCAAACAATATACAATAAGATGCAGAGACCATCCTAAAGTTCTTGAATTGAGCGCATCATAAAAGTCTCATCTGAGAATAGGCAATGAGCATTGCCATCCTTCTCATAGAATCCACCCTATACTGGAGAAAACTGTTATGTAGAAACCCACAGGATGGTGGGGGAGAAAGCTACTTTTCTGTTAAAATTTCAAATTTAGCTGCAGTTCCCATAGAACTGATTATTCTTTTTTCTTTCTTGTCACTTTGGCAAATACTCATTCAGTTTGTTTGGAACAACTGCCTCCAATCCCCAGTTGTAACTGTGGGCCAGATGTATGATTCAGGGGCTGTAGTGGAGCTCAGAAATCATTGAAAGTGCAGGCTGGGGCTACTACAGCACGTTAATTGCTGTCAGAGGATCTGTTATCCTCACTGTTCAGAGGCTGGAGAGATTAATTACTCTCTAACATCTACCCACAGGTGTCAAACCAACATGAAACCATGGGCAAGGATATATCCAGCCTTAAAGAATGCTTCATGATAAAAGAAAGGTTTTTTTAATTGCAAATCTATACATTTTTCCATTAGCAATTAAAGTGAACCTTTGGGAGTGTATTGGCTTACTGTTCAGAAAGTTACTAGAAATAGAATTTTAAATAGCTCTTGGTCTTGGCTTATATTCTTAATTTTTCTTTGAAAACAGTTCTCCCCTGTGGCACTTTCTGTCCTACAGTTTCCCCATTTGAAGTCCTTTTAGTGGAAGTCATGAGAGTAATAGTATTTAGAATAGATTGTTAGTCCGAGAAGTAATATTTCTCCTACCGAATTCCTGCCAAATTCATGCTCTAGGCTGTGCTCACTTCTTTTGAGTGTTTCTGGTGACTAATGCATATGAACCCACACTACAGTGAGCTTAGTCATGCCAGTCTTTTCCTTTTCTTTCTCCAGCAAGGGTTAAAAATAGTTCACCATGCAGAGAAGACCCTGTCCAGTTTCTGCAAATGGCAGAAAAGCATTAATCCTAAGAGTGACCTCAACCCTGTCCATCATGATGTGGCTGTCCTTCTTACCAGGTACTCCTGTGTCTATGTGTAACCCAAGGGCAGCAAGGTACCCTTGTGTCTATGTGGGGCCCGGGGAGGGCAGGCAAAGCTTGAGAGGTTTCCATAGTCATGAAATTCTCACTTCTCTTCTCTGATCTTGGTCAGTTGTGAAGGCAGCAACTATGGTCTATTCGGTTCCTGACACACCAGTGGCAGTGGAGGAACCATTAGCATGGTAATATGACAAAGCCCTTCTAGCTAATAAGTGTATCTGCCGACAGAATTTGAGAATGGGACTTCTGTCTCCTGCCCTATGGCCCCAGAAGTTGTCACTTGGAGAACTAAAAACTCACATGCATTCTCCAAGCTTGGTTTGATTTCTGTGGACCAAAAGATTCAAGAAGCAGGACACTGTTTGTTGCTAGAAATGGTGCCCACACAAAATCCATGAGGAAAGATTTGCTAAAGCTCAGAACCTCATCAACATTGTGCAATTCAAGAGCTATTGGTCAAGAACTTTCCTTGTACTGAATAAAATCAAACAATTAATTAATGATCCTCTCAAAACTTTTTGATGATTGCAATAATTCCTGCCAATATATGGAGGTACATTTTCATTTCAAAGTATAATCCTTATATAATAAGGATTCTGAGAAGTATTTTTTCCAGAATCAGTAAGTTCTACAAGGTATGACCTCTCTTTGTCTCTCTGCCTCTGTCTCTGTCTCTGTCTCTGTCTCTGTTTCTCTCTCTCTCTCTCTCTCTCTCTCTCTCTCTCTCTCTCTCTCTCTCTCTCTCTGTCTCTCTCTCTCTCCCTCCTTCCCATGTTTGAAATATTGTCCACTGTACAAACAATTGATTTGATCTCTTGCTGGCTTGAAAGGATCAGTTGTTTTTCTCTTGAATGAATAAAAGCTATCAGATGAGTTTTCAGGATAAATCTCAGACAAGTTTCACATTTGAAAAACCACAATCATTACTAATTGTCTGTTCCCTATTAAAAAGTTCAAATTTCAGTTTTCAATGAAATCTCTTATTGGTCAAATAATATAATTTGGCTTCATGAGATCAAGATCGAAATAACTCAAAATAAGACATTCACTGTATTTTCTCACATGTTTAAGACTAGAGAAAGTCAGTAATTAAAAGGTAAAATCGAAGCAAGCTTAGTACTAAATTATACTCTATATTCACATTGATTTTTAAATCTTTATTCTAAGCATGCTTTACAAATGATATTGAATACAAATTTATATGTAGATTTTTTTCCAGGAGATTTTTCAGCTGTTTCTTTTGGTGTCAAAGTCACCTCTATTTTCTGCCTACAGAAAAGACATCTGTGCTGGTGTCAATCGTCCTTGTGAGACTCTAGGTTTGTCACACCTGTCAGGAATGTGCCAGCCTCACCGAAGTTGTAACATCAATGAGGACTCTGGGCTCCCCCTAGCTTTCACGATTGCACATGAGCTGGGACACAGGTAAAGAGTCAAGGAAGTTGAGACCGGCTTGCCATTCTCATGCATCAGTGCTTAGACTGTGGGTCAGATTTGGCTTGCATTGTGTCTTGATGCTCATCTGCTAGATCTCTGTATTTTCATCTTTAAAGTAGGGATAGTAACACACTTGACAGTCTCCAGTACCTTCTCTGTCCTTACCACTTGCACCCATGTGTACATCACAGAATCAAGGAGACCACACATTTTTTTCTCAATTAAAATAGAATGGTGTGAGCAGGGGCAAGGAAAATAAGTTATTCTTGAATTAATTGCGTCACATTCAGAAATAACCTCTGACTAGTTCTTATGAAATGATCATCTTAGTGTCACTAAAACATAAACCTAGCATTTCTTGAGTCTTTATGCCATTGTGCTTTTCAGTGTGTTATTAAATCTTCTTAAATTCTCCACAAAATTGTTACCATTGTTAACCCCATCTCTATTATATAGATTAAGGGAGAATATTGAATAAATAAACTGAAAACATATAAACTTGGAAAGATCATTAAGCAAACACCAGTTATAACATGGTATCCAAGTTGTTGCAAAAACATACAGATTCATCTAGTTGAATCTCTTGAATGCAAGTTTGAAAATGTTTGAAAATGAGCAAACTATAATGCGAATTTTGGATTTGGCCAGTATCGGAGGTTCCCATGGAGGAAAGATCTTAGTTCACTAATAACTTCATTTGTGAGTAACTACAAATAAGAGCACATCATAGTCCTTGGAAGCTCAGGATGGGAAGTTCCTGAGATAGCTAAACCATACACCCGTGGCTGTCCTGACCCACCAGCCTGGATCGCCTTCCTACAAAGGGGGAAGAACAGTGAGGCGTATTCTGAGTGTCTGCCTAGAGACAAGGCCTGGCCTTTCCAGCCAGAGGTCACTCACCATTTTTCTCACGTAGTGATTGAACTTTTCAAAAACAATTTTACCACCATTACAAAGCCAGAGTCTTGGCTCCAGAGAAAATGACTGTTTTATCTGGTTCTCCCATCAATGACTAGTATGACCCTATATAATATCATAGACCGTATCTCTATAGCTGCTTTCTCATTTTAAGATGGGTAGGTTGATCCAGTAAGTTTCTTAGGTGCTATGATTTGTTAGAACCTAACCAAATGTTTTGGAAATAAATGTGAAATAGTTTAATATCCTTAGTTGTGAAAAATTCAGAAGAAAGAGACAAGATACTTACTTATAATTAATTATAAGTAATTATACTTACTTAAAATTGAAACTTGAAAGAGCTAGGACAGAATGTAATCTTGATGAAGCCAAACTAAAGTCATTGGTATACTGATAATTGAACAGAGATAAATGACAATTATTTTTATGTCTGCTTTACAGAGGATGATTTTCTTGCTCATTGTTGTTAGCAGCAGCTGCTGGCCACATAGTATCAATTAAATACAGTTGATCAAACTGAAAAGTGATTGCTTACATGCTTTTCATCAGTGCTATACCCAAGCTAACAAAAAGTTGAGAAGATTTAGCTTGATAAAAAGGCATTTTCAAACACTTCTTGTTTTCAAAGGGTAGATTCTTTATGTCATCAATTTCAATCAGATGCTGGAAAGAAAAATATGCTAAACAGGTCCCCCAAAAGCAATGTTTTCCCATTTTGAGGCAATTGTTGACATAAGTATCTCAGGGCATGGATACATCAGTTTTGTGAGGAAGGTCACCTAAATAAAATAAAGACAAGGCAAGAATGATTCTTCCTTTAGATGAAAGATTCTTCCTCCAAAATTTCTCCAATGAAGTTTAGACATGGTAGCAATATCACCTGAACACAACAAGGTGTTGAATACTTGAAAACAAAGTTGTAGAAGTTCCGCTTGTTTATCAGACTAGAACTGGACACTGTCTGAATCAGGTTGATACTACAGTAAGTAATGTTAAACTGAATAACAATTTGGAGCTAGTTAAAGCATTTTGGATATAAGACTGCTAAAACAATTTCTAACCCTGTGTTTATGTTGTGATTGTTACAGTTTTTCTGTTTAAAGCTATGCAGGGAACAATGAGAATCAAATTCTAAGAAACAACCCTCTTTAAGTAAAGTCAATTTCCTAAGTAAAAGAGCTTGAGAACACTTAAGGCAGAACTTGAATGCAGTTTTTGAAATTATTCAGAAATTGACCGTCTCTGAGACAAAGACTTAAAGCAATTCACTTATATGGAAGGTAAAGAAAATACCTTTAAGAAGAACATTGAAGTAGGTAGTGAAAGGAAATAAAAAATAATCAATTATCTCAGCTTCCTCTGTGGACAACTAGACTTTAATCTCATTGGCAATATCTGAAAACAAAACATAGCTGAGTTGTCTCACACAATAAGGAAAGAATTGGGTTTTTTATACAATACCCTTAAGTCACTGGTCCAAGGCTGTTCCCAGGAGCTGATTCCCTTGCACCTCAGGCTTAGTAGGCAAAGGCCAAATAGCAAAGTCTGACTTGGCTTCAGAAAGAGCACCTGTGCAGTGAGATGCAAATATTGGCAATTGGAAATGAGCTGGTCATGAACCTTTAATCAGGGACTATAGCATCTGCTGTAGCTTACTTAGGGGCATTAAGTATCACCCCTTACAAAATTTTGACTCAGGAAAACATGGAATATACATACTTTTCCCTACTTCTGTTAAGTATAATGAAAACCCCTGAACATTATGTGAAAAACAAGCAATGGATTCTGAAGAATGAAGAGAAGAGGAAAGATAGGTTGGGAACAACAGGACTAAAAGATAATTTGATAGCAAGTCCTCTGTTTTGCTTTTCTTTAACATATACCAGATTTGGAGCAGATGGCATAAGCAATCATCAGACAAAACACAATCTTCAATTGTGTTTTCACAATTGAATCTTCAACAGCTATGTAGCTGAGGCATCATAAGAGTAAGCTAGCAACTGTTCTACATGAGCCAAACAGCACAGAAAAGAGGTATATCGTTAAGTTTCTCCATGCTAGCAAAATCTGAGTAGGAACTTAGCTTCCATTCATCACAGACTATAACAAAACTATCAACACTGCACTAAAAAAAAGCACAAAAACTTAAGTCCTGCTACTTATGTAGTGTCAAAATGTCACATAAGACACTGAGACTTTGATAACTATGAGGCATTAATGTGTGTCCCCCCAAGCCCAACCTTATGACATCATTGCAGACCTTATGGGGAGTCAGAGAGAGCACCCTTTACCAACTCAGGTGTCAAAGGGAAGCCTGAACTGATTCTACCTGGTAGTAATGAAATGGTGGCTCTGACCTTCCCTTACCACAGTAATACTAGAAAAGCCAGTCAGTGCAGGCATGGTGGCGCCTGCCTGTAATCCCAGGACTCAGATGAACTAGGAGGATCATTGAGTATGAGACTACCCTGAGCTACAAAGTGAGCAAGGCCAGCCTGAACTATATAGTGAGATCCTGTCTCAAAAAAAGTAGATTCGTTAAGAGCCAGTATATCAGACATGAAAACCTTCAAGTTTCCATGTAAATCACTCAGCATACCAGGAATGTCTCAAATAGAGTGAGAAAATACCAGAAATAAATAAATGCCAGTATTAAGATTATAGAGATATTTGATTTAACTGACAAAGGATTCAAGGTAGCCATGATAAACATGCTTCAATAAGTAATTGCGAACAACTTTAAAAAAAGAAAACAAATAATAAGACTCTTAAAAAAAATAAAGCATACAAAGAAGAATGATATGGACATTTAGAACTGAAAAACACAATAAACAAAGTTTTAAAATGCAGTAAGTGTACTCATGATAAGAATGCAGAAAGGCAAAGTAAAGAATCAGTGGGCTGGAAAACAGAACAACAGAAATTATGCAATCTGAGCAGATAAAGAAAAAAGATTTAAAAATATTGAAGAGAACGTTGAAAGCCCATGAAGTCTTACAGTTTGCTATCAGTCTCAGAAGGAGGTGGGGGAGCCTGATTGGAAAAGTACATACAAATGACTGAAAGCTCCGAATCTGATGAAACAAAACTTATAGATCTAAGATGCTTAAGAAGTTATACATACATTCAGATTTTAAGCCTAAATAAGTGTGTATGCTAATCTATGCTAATGTATGCTAATGTATGCTAATCTATGTAATTAAACCTCTGAAATTGAAGACAGAGAAACACTGCAAACAAGAAGAGAAAAATAATACATCAATAAGAGGAAAACAAATTAAATGATAGTAGATTCCCCCCAAAGACTATGGAAGCCCAAAGGAGGTAACATAACATTTTTCAAATACTAAAAGTTTTGTTAAAAATTCAGAATCATAACCATAGTGAAATAAAACTGGAGGAGATACTTCTAATTAAACATATAAAGCTCTTACTACCCTCATACCAATATCAGACAAACAATATCCTTCATGAATATAGATACAAAAATTGTAATAAAACAGTAGCAAATAGAATTCAAATATAAAATAATTAGATACAATGAGCAAATAGTGTTTATTCCAAAGATAAAAGGCTGGTCCAACATTTGAAAATCAACCAACAGTCTAAAGAAGAGATATTCATTTCCCAACTATGAAATTTAGAAAGCTTACAGTTAATTTTTATGCTCAGCAACTGGAGTTTTCTTGGTTTAGGTTTTCTTAGCCAATGATCTCTTCTTTCTCTGTCTTAATTTTGTGGTTCTACTTTTGTAACCTTGTCATAATGATGCTAACTTTCTGGTCTTTGCTTTTATTTTAAGTTACTACAATGACTTTCTAAAAAATAATTTCAGATTATTTTTTAAATGCCATAGTCACCTTAACTGATGTAAAAAAATATCTTTTGACAAAATTCAACATATATTCATGATTTTAAAAACTTTCAGAAATAGAGACTTCCCTAACTGGATAAAGACCATCTAAAACAAATTTACTACTCCACATAGTATTAAAAATTTCAGCCTAGAGTGATAAAAGATTGGAAACAAGAAACAAAATCATCCCTACTTGATCTAGGTGTGGTGGTACATGTCTATATCCCTAGCTACGCAGGAGGCTGAGGCAAGGCCATAAGTTTGAGAGTAACCTGCGAACATACTACTATTGTGTCTCAAAAAACAAAAAAAATAAAAACTGAACACACAGATACACATACATACATACACACAAACACACAGAAAAAGTGAGTTCTATCAACAGGATGCAGTATAAAAGCAATCATACTTCTAAATCCTAGCAGTGAGGAGAAAGACAATGGAATTAAAAATTTAATGTCTTGTATAATGATTCAAAACTTGATTTTACACTTTTGTTTTGCAAACCTGTGGAAGAATGAATTTATGCTGATTCACCAACTTTATTGTTATGACATCTCTATGAAACTAACATATACATCCATCAAAGCACTGGTATCTCGAATATAATAACTTTCCAAATCAAGTTAAAAATACAATTAGAAAATGGACAAAAGGCTTGAATAAACATTTTACCAAATGAATCCATAGAAAACAGGCATGTAAAAGAGCGTTTAACTTCATTAGCTATCAGGAAAATGCAAAATAAAATTGCAATTATATATTGTACATAAAATCAACTTGATACCAAATGCTACCAAAGATATAGAGAAAATGGATTGTTCACACATACCAGTAAGGATTTAAAATGGTAGAAGCATTAGCACTATGAAAAAGAGTTTTGTGGTTCTTTAAAAACTGAGCCTGCAATTGCCACATTACCCAGTAATTATGCTTCCGGGCTTTTATGTGGGTGAGACTGATACATGTTCACACAGAATGTTGACATGAATGTGAATGGAAGTGTAATCATAATGTCCTCAAAATGGAAATACCCCATGGCTTGTTTCTATCCAACAGGGTGACTGGTTAAAAAAAAATTATAATGAATGCTTAGGGTGGGCCATCAGTCAGTGACAGGATGAAAGAAGCTACTAATATATGCAACAACACTGAGAGATTTTCAAGGAATTATGCTTCGTAAAGAAACACTATCCCAAAGAGTTACTATATGATTGTATTTACCCATCTCTAGAAAAGCAACAAAATTACAGAAATGGGGAGCAAATTAGGATTTAAGGAAGAAATAGGGGAGAGAAAGAATAGTTGTGGCTATGTGGTGTAACACAAGGGGTCTTATGGTAAAATGCCCGGTGGTCTGACTATATGAATACAACATCTTCACTGTGATATTGTACCATAGTTTTGGAAGATATTACTTTATGAAACGGGTAAAAGATGCACAATTCCCTCTATGTGCTGCTTCTTACAACTACATCTGAATCTGCCATTAGTTGAAAACTTAAAAGTTTCATGTTTGTCAAAAAATAGATGAAAGGAATGAGAGGGAAAGGACAGTACAAGGGTGAAGAATGAATAGAATAAAGATAATAGAAGATAATAAAATAGAAGTCAAAATAAAACTGGGGAGGTGGGGGAGAAAGGAGATAATGGAAAGCGAAAATGATCAGTGTGCATGTAGAAATGTGCCCAAATGAAATCCATTAATAATAATTTTTAAGTTAAAAAACAAAACCTAAAAAAAGTAAGTTTAATTTTTAAGAAGAAGTATCAGGCCAAGTACCGATGACCTAAAGTACTTTTTTTTAAAAGAAAACCTTTTAAATGAAACAACAACAAAATAGATTTAGAGTTACTGCTAAGAAAATCATGAAAGAATACATAAAAGTTTGATTCTCAGTAATAGAATAAAATGCTTTCATAAGACACCAAAACAAAGGAGAGAATTCTTTAGGAGCTTCCTGAGAAGCGTTTCCATATAACAAAAATACTTCTAAGGTAGACAGCTCCTTTTTTTAGCAGTATAGTTCTAATGAGCTTTGTGGACCTAATGTGGGCCACTCTAAGAAACACTGGAGAGATCAATGAGAGGGCTTAAAGGCTCAGAAGGAGAGAAATATGAAAAACTATTATGTGAAGAAAATTCTAATTATCATTTAATAATAAATACACTTCACTGTTCCTTGGAAACTTATTTATTTTATCACTGTCTATAATGCAAATAAGAAACAAAACTAACACGTATACTGCAGCATTAGGCAGATAATTTCAATGTTTTTGAAAGGAAGTTAAAAATATATTTGTATGTGCCCTAAATTATATTAATCATCCATATCTAGGGTCATACCATTATGCAACTAGTGATTTATTAGAAATTAAAATAGAATTCCAGGAAAAAACCTTAAAAATTACCTGAGACTTAACATCCTTTCCTGTTAAGTAGTGGAAATACCATAGTGTTTATCTACTCAAGTTCCCTGCCTCATCTTCTGAATTGTGATATATTTTATTAAGAGTTTTGGAAACTAGAATTTTAATGAAGAAGTTAGAAAGGCTCGCATTCACACTTTCATAGATTTCGCTCTCTACTGATAGGCAAGCCTTTCTTAAAGAAGTTGGAACACCAAAGATGAAACAAAACAGGCAAATCCACCATCCTGTGAGTTGTTTCAGAATGTACACTGGTTTCTATTCCAAATTGTTTCACAATCCATCCCAAGTAGCTTTTTGAAATAGATCTTTCGGCCCTATGGCCCCACATGCTTTTCTCACCTGCTCTATCACTGAATCATTGGACCCAAGGCACATGGCTTCTGTACTGATATGGAAATAGAAGACAGTTTAGTTGCAGTGTTTCATTCTTTAGGTAAAATACAGCTATAAGGAAAATGCTTTGATGGATTTCAATCTTTTCAAGGACTAAAATGAGATTTGGGGGTGGACTTAACATTTTATGTAAGTTTGAAGCCACACAACATACAGTCATATGGCTCGTGTACTGGAATACTCTTTTATTTGTGTAGTTTAGATGGTTTTAATAGCCGATGAACACACATTTGTGGAGTATTTCATAAGCCTGGCAGGACCGGATTTGTAGGAGTCTGGGGACAGTGTGCTCAGGAGGCTATCATTGAATCTGTTTCTAAGTGGGTGGTAAAAAGCTTTGTAGATTAATTCTCTGACTCCTTTGTGACTTTTAAATTCATGTGGAATGTGATTAGAGTTGGGAAGTATGTTGATAATACTCTAATGCATAAAATACAAGGAAATCTCTAAATCCTCCAAAGACTGTTTCTTGTGAGAGTTGCTAATACTGATCAAAAGATTTCATTCAAGTTTAGTGTGAGCTTCCTGGTAAAGGAGTTGAATTTCACTATGAAAAGTAAAAGATTATACTTTCCTGTATTCACATTTGGAAATCTGAGGCAATGTTATCAGATTGAGAGATTTCCATGTCAGGCACTCCTGGAGGGAGATCTGGGAATCTAAGAGGGTGCTTTGAGAGTGCCCTAAGAATGCAGCTTCTAAATAGATCTCATGGGGGGGTTTCTTTCTTAAACACTCTCTTGCCATGGTTGGTGGTTAAGGACCGTAAGGTCCATCAAGGCTGCAGTGGGAAGCCCTTGGGCGAGCAACACATCAGTGACAGCAGCAGTCAGAAGCACAGAGTTGTTCAGCGAGGACCCACTTCACCTTAACAATTTACATGGCTCTTGCCTAATCCCAGACTAAACTTCCTCGTATCAAAAAGGAAAATAGCATATAAAATATTAAAACACACAATTAAGATTTTTCTGTCATTTGTAAAACTTTTATGAAGAAATCTTGCTATGCGTTTTTCAGACCTTACTCTATACATACCTCATCTTAGCATGATGACAACTACCTTCTTTTCTGAGAGTGGAAAATGAGGCAAGTTTTGGTAACTCACAGAGGTGAAATTCACATCCAGATTAGCTGTTCTCAAAAACCCTGCTCTCACTCACTGAACTATAGCTCTCTATGAGAACTGTTACCTTGAAGTATAGCAGTAGCAGAAAGAACTCCATTCCCTCAAACCTTTTGGCCTTTCACAAAGACTCATATAGGCTTCCCTCTCTCTTAAATATGATGAGAAAGGACAATGAAAGTTTTGTTTCTCATACTGCGATTGCTATTGCAGGAGGAAGCAGGTATCTTGGGGACAGAGTTTTTGTCCATATTTTAGGCACACAGAAAGCCTGACTGAGGGCTCTTCCTTCTTCCAAGCAGCACTTGCATATAGGAGGGAAAGGCCCAAGTACAATGTTCCCTGCATTTTTAAGTTCAGAATTAGCTATTCTCTTCCAACTTCAAAGTCTAACTTTATTAACAACTCCATCTACAAAAGTAGCTCTCTGTGAGTTGTCATAACATTGGAGAAACTAGTTTTTCTCCTTCTTTAATGCCTAACTGCTTGCAACTCTTGTGCTTTGCACCAGCTTTGGCATCCAGCATGATGGCAAAGAAAATGACTGTGAGCCCATGGGCAGACATCCGTACATCATGTCCCATCAGCTCCAGTATGATCCCACTCCGCTGACCTGGTCCAAGTGCAGCAAAGAGTACATCACCCGCTTCTTGGAGTAAGTGACAGTACATTTCTTTACACCGTTTATTACAACAGATAATCTGCAATTTGTGTTGAGTTTTTTGCATAGAAGCTGACAACTAGAAAAGGCTCAGTTGTATTCCAGAGCCACGAAGTTACAGTGGCATCCCAGGGGTAGATTTCACCTCTGCTTTGGAACCCTGAGATTTGGGTAGACTCTGCACTCCAGCTACAGCCAACTGAGCATCCTGACTGCTCCTGCTCCAAGGTGACTTTATAAAATCTGATTGTAAACTAAATTCCTGGAGACTGGCAGGAACAGACAGGAAAGTCAGAAGAAGCATTCAACTAAACCCTGCTAAGGATAAGATGGTGATTGCTTAATATTCCTACCACTTATATTTTCTAGATAATAATTATAAACTTAGTATGGGATAAGATTTGTATTTTCTATTGCTTCCCGCTTGGGCCCAAAAGATTCACTAGTTTCAAAAGTAAGTTGTCTTGAAGGTCAAAGGGCAAATGAGAGGGATGGGTGAATGAAATGCTGAATTAATTCACAAGCAGCTGCTTTCATTACTATTAACTTGTTTGCAGCCGAGGCTGGGGGTCCTGTCTTGATGATGTCCCCAAAAAGAAAGGTTTGAAGTCCAAGGTCATTGCCCCTGGAGTGATTTATGATGTTCATCACCAGTGCCAACTCCAGTATGGCCCCAATGCTACTTTCTGCCAGGAAGTAGAAGTAAGTTCTGGGTATCTTCGATGGGTGTAAGCAATTGAGATCTCCAGCATATTGACGGAAGAGCCGTGGAAATATTAGGAAGTCTGAAGATCCACAGCCAGAAATGGAAGCTTTATATCTATGACAAGGTATAAGTGTGTTTGCATTGATGTGAGTTCACAAACTCGATTGTTTCCACAGTTTTGGTGGCAAACCAAGTTGGACAAGGACCCAATCAAATTCCATGGTTAGGTTCAGTGTTGGATATATATGGATATATATATATATATATATATATATATATATATATAGGAATATATATGGAGATATGTATCTCTCCAACTTTCTACCCTACATAGGGCTAATCACATTGTTTTCAGTATTCAGGTATTTAAGTAATCATTAAATCTAAAATCTAGAGTACTAGTGTTGCTTCTCTACATCTATAGAGGCAAACTTTAGATAAACACCTCACCACACTTTTAGCTTCTGAAGAGTATCCTTAATTTCTTACCGACTCAAGAATGCATGTTATTCATGGTTTTAGAAGTTATGTGGAGGGTTTCTTGGGGTTTCCTGTTTATTGGAACCACTCTAGCTATCTCTGTTCAATTCCTTTTTAAACACTATTTTCCTGTGCTGAACAACCTCCACTCCATGGAAGTGCTGGGTTCTCCATCACCTCCAGAACTTGGCATGCTCTGGTTTCTTCACATCATCCTTTCTACTTTCATTTGATCTTCAGTTTAAATATCACTTTATATCTTAATTTAGCATTTTTGTAATCTGTGTTACATGGTTTCTTGTTTACTTATCTATATAGTCTTCTAGTGTATTTTAGGATCTCTAAGAAAGTTGTTATCCCTGACACTCAGAAGTGTGTATTACATAGTAGTCACTCTACAGTAGCTAATTTAATCAACACTTCAGATTCTTTTATACTGCAACCAGTATAACACAGTCATTTCCACTGACAAAAACAAAATAAAAATACCAGAAAGTATAGTATTACTTTTTGATTAAAACAAATAACCAAAAGGTAGCTCTAAGTAGCTAAACCATGACATATATGAATCATGCCAATCTTTGTGTAGGCCACCACTGGTAGAAATAACAGAATTTGCAGCTAAAATAAGCTGATTACTTTGGGTAGTGAAGAAATAATCTGAATCTTTCTGGGTGGCATAGTTTCCATTTCCTTCAGTGAATGTTCCTTCAAGTTGTAAGTGTGTCAGGTGTTTGTAATCAGCCAAGCTTTGAATTTGCAGTTGATACTTATCAGTTATCTACCCAAATTTAATGAATGGTATGGTAGATACTGCCCCCCCCACACACAGAGAAATGATGGTCTCAATTAAAGAACCGAGTTTTTTATTACTCATTTCTTTATTGCCTGACATGGCCTACAGACCATTGTTTGTGAAGAGACCAACTAGAGTTTGAAGTAAGACCTCTAATAATTTACTCTTATTCAGTAGCAAGTATTACCTGTGTCTATTTTATTGTACCTGGAGAAATGCATTTGTGTGAAGTTTTAAACTTTACAATTGTTTTTCAGAATGTTTGCCAGACGCTGTGGTGCTCAGTGAAAGGTTTCTGTCGCTCTAAGCTGGATGCTGCTGCAGACGGGACCCAATGTGGTGAGAAGAAGGTGAGGTGTGAGCCTGAAGAAGGGAACAGGAGGGCAGTAGACTTTGTTCTTGGGAAGTGTTAGGGAGAAGGCCTGGGGGAAGGAGTGAGGCTCTCTCTAGGTAAAGAATGGTGAGCAGAGGTCACATGATCAGGCAGCCTGCAGAGAAGATTCTGTTCTTGGGCCTTTACTGGGAGCAAGAAGTCAAAAAGAGATGGTTGATCCCAACTCCACACTTTACTTGCAGAACATGTGTCTCATCTTTCCCCGATGAACTTCTGTGGAGGTTCTGGTAAACAATATCTGCTGGACCTATTGTTGGCCATCATTTTAACATTTCTCCCTCCCATACTGGAGATCCATGAAGAACAAGCCAATATTGTCTTCCTTCCAAAAATGTCAGATTTGGGAAATTTAATCTTCTTTTTCATTTTTTGACACTTTTCCTTCAAGCAAGAGAGAAATGCATCCAAGAACCCAGAGGCATTAGATATCCTGCAGACCGAGGACAGAGTGACTCATGCTGCTCAGTTAAGCCAGTTAGCTGTGCTGAGGGCCTAGGGCTTAAGAGTTCAGTGATTATCTTCATGCAGCTTCAATGTGACATGACCATCACTGAGATTATAGAACTTGGTTTAAATACCCAATAATCAGAAATAATGAAGGAAAAAGAATCTAGCAGATAAAATACCCCAAAATCCTGCAGGAAATTTGACTATTTACAACTAAATTTTATTTCTTTTGTTTTAATTTTTTTTTGTTCACATTTCTTGCTTTGCAAGAAAATACAGATCTTACACCAGAAATTAAATCTGCTAAACAACTATTAATAGTAAGCACATTAAATTGACATCCTTTCCACAGCAAGATTTTTTAAAAGAGTTTCTCAATGAATGAAGTAGTTTGTTGACTTATATTTTAGGATGCAATTTGCTGACCAGATTCCAAGAAGTAGTCCTGCACTGACTATGACTACAGACCGTGGCTATGACTACAGACTATGAAGTCCTCTTGATTCCTAAAAATGTTTGATTCTAAAAATTGGAACTCTAGGGCAACTATTTTATAAGCTGTTCTGTGCTTTGCATCAGATATGTGACTATAGGAAGCCTGCTTTCTTGGGGAGGACTGAATTTAGATTTAAGGGCTTTGGGCTTAGCTTGCTGGGGGGCTTCCTGACACATTCCTCTCCTGCTTCTTCTTGTTGTAGTGGTGCATGGCAGGCAAGTGCATCACAGTGGGGAAGAAACCAGAGAGCATCCCTGGAGGCTGGGGCCTGTGGTCACCCTGGTCCCACTGTACCAGGACCTGTGGGGCTGGAGCCCAGAGTGCAGAGAGGCACTGCAACAACCCTGAGTAAGTCAGCCAAGTGTATTTCCTTCCCTTTCTTTCACAAGTGCCTAAAGACTAGTCTTGAATAATAGGGCCTCAGTAACCCTGTAACTCTAGAGGAAAATTAAACTGGTTCCCAGATAAAAAGAAACCAGAAATTCACAGACGATTGAAAAAAAAAAAGGTTCTATTTTGTTTTGGTAGTACACTGGAATCTTAATTATACTTACATAAGTTTGCTGATTCTATTGCTTGATGGAATAAAATAAATTTATTTTAAATGTATAATTTATGGGAGAGCCCCTAGGAGAGTATGCAATTAAGTCCTTTGAGATAACTCCACTCTGTCAGTAAGAGATTTGTTATACACAATTTTGGTGATAAGACTGTGGCTTGCTTTCTATCATGATGAATGTACAACTTTATAAAAATATTATTCTTATATTATAGGTAACTAGAATAATAGTTAAGCATGTTTTAGAGGATATGAATTTTTAATGGTGTATAAAAGGATTATGTAAACTTTATCATTCCATAAAACTTATTTCACAAGCAGTTTTCTGTTTTTCAATTGAATTAATTTTTCAATAAACTTGTATAATGATAATTTGTATATTTTGAGCTTACATTGGCTTCTTTTCCAAATATATATTATATTATTACTTCCTGGTATCCTAATTCTCAAGTGCATATTTTAAAACAGTGTATATAGATTGCATGCTAGATATAGAAATTATATTCTAAAGCTTGTTTGGGACCCTCACGGCTCCAGGTACACTGGAGCAGCTCTGCGGGTCCGGGGCGCCAGCATAGGCCTCCCTGTTCCTGGCTGTGCTTGGGGGACTGTAGAGTTCTAGGCAAGCAGGCTGGTGCCACCAGTTCCAGAGGCCCGGCGGCCTGGCGTAAGTGTCCCGCACACTTTCCCCCAAGTCCAGCTGGTTTGGGAACCTCTCTTGGCCCCGGCCAGGGAACCTCATGGCTTCTGGGTGCACTGGAGCAGCGCAGCAGGTCCAGGGAGCCAGCGTCAGCGTCCCCCCTCCCGGCTGTGCTTGGCGGACTGTGGAGTGCTAAGCAAGTAGGCAGATGCCATCAGTTCCAGAGGCTGGGCTTGAGCCAGCCTGCACCACCCCCAGTGACACTCTATCAATCCAGGGAACTGGGTGCCAGAGTCCCAGGAGCTGAGGGTATAGAAAAGAATTTCCAACAGACCCTGAAGAAGCCTTAGAATAACACTTGAAACATTTGAAAAATAGAAATATAGGAAAATGACAAAATGAAAGACCAAATTACAATCTCAAACCTCCAGCCCATCCAACGAAACCTTAGGAGTGATGTATATAGAAGAAAATATATTGTGTAGACCTTAAATATCAGACATAATAGCAACTGAAATAAACAAGCAACTCTGAGAATCTTTAAAGGAACTCAAACTAGAAATAATCTCCCAGGTAAAAGAAGAAATGACAAAAGAAATAAAAGAGATGCTGAATATATCTAAAGAAGACACAGTTAAAAAATTGGAGGAACTAAAAAAACGTAGAATCCCTAGATGAACAATATAAGAAACAAACAAACAATACATAAAAGCAGGTGCACAGAGACATACAGGAAATCAAAAATTCCACTGAAAGCTGTAAAAACCACCTCAATGAAAGTGAAGACAGAATTTCAGACCTTGAAGACAAGATTGCAGCTAGTGAACAGAAGAGGAAAGATCTTTTAAAAATAACAAGGAATCAGGAAATAACAATTCAACAACTGCAAGATGACGCAAAGAAAAGCGAACATAAGATTGATAGGGATTAGTGAAAAAGAAAGGGATGACATAAAGGACATCAAGATGATATTTAGAGAAGTAATGGCTGAAAATTTCCCAAACATGAGATTGGAAACTGATATCAGGATCAGTGAAGCATATAGAACTCCAAAAAGTCATAACCATAATAAAGCTACACCCAGACATATAATAATCACCATCTCAGAAATTCAACATAAGAATAGAATATTAAAAGCTGTCAGAGAGAAATAACAGATCATTTATAAAGGAAAACCTCTCAGAATCACTGCAGACTTCTCAGCACAAACAAAAAAGTCAAGAAGAGCATGCAGTGAAGTATTCCAGATCCTAAAGGAAAATGATTTCCAAACTAGACTGAGGTACCCTGAAAAACTGTCCTTCAAAATCAATGGTGAAATAAGATACTTCCATGACAAAGAACAGCTGAAGAACTTCATGATCACCAAGCCAACCCTGCAAAAAATATTGAAAGACAGTTTAGATACACTTAGGAAAAAACAACTAAGCAAAGTAGACAAACAGAATAGAAAGATAAAGATGCAACAGCAGAAAAATAACATGTCAAGAATAAATCAACATACAACAGATATAACCATTAATGTAAATGGTCTCAATGCACCAATTAAGAGAAACAAACTAGCAGAATGGATCAAGAAACAAAATCCAACCATATGTTGTCTACTACAAGAAACCCATCTAACCCAAAAGGATACTCACAGACTGAAAGTCAAAGGATGAAAAACAATACATCATGCAACAGAAACCCCCCAAAAAAGCAGGAGTAGCCATTCTGTTTGCAGACAATGTGAACTTTAAACCAATAATGATCAGAAGAGATAAAGAAGGTCACTACATACTTGTTAGTGGAAAACTTCTAAAGGAAGAGATAACTATCTTAAATATATATGCACCAAAATCCAGAGCACCCAGTTATATAAAACAAGTATTAACAGAAATGAAAAATCAAATTATCAGTAACACAAGTGTAACAGGAGATCTTAACATACCATTGACACCAAAGGACAGATCAACCAGACAGAAAACCAGCAAACAAATAACAGAACTGAATCACACATGTGAACAAATGGACTTGATAGACACATACAGAGTGTTCTATCCAACAATGTCAGAATACACATTCTCCTTAGCAATACATGGGTCATTCTATAAAATAGACCATATATTAGCTCACACAACATAATTAAATAAATGCAAAAGAGTTGAAATTAAACCTTGCATGTTATCAGATCATAGCACTTTGAAATTAGAAATTAATGATAAAAGATACTGCAAAAATCCCACAAACACATGGAAACTGAATAACACACTTTTGAGTAATCAGTGGGTCACAGAAGAAATTAAAAAAGAAATTAAACAAGAAAATGAAAATACAAATCAACCTACTGGAATCTGTGGGATGCAATGAAAGCCGTCCTCAGATAAAAATTTATTGCACTGAGTTCCCACATCAGGAAAACTGAATGAATACAAATAAATAACCTGATGCTACACTTCTAGCATCTAGAAAAAGAAGAGCAAGTAAAGTCCAAAGCCAAAAGAAGAGAGGAAATTATAAAAATCAGAGCAGAAATCAATGCAATAGAGACTAGGGAAACAATGAATCAATGAATCAAAGGGTTGGGCCTTTGAAAGAATAAATAAAATTGATAAGCCCCTGGCCAACATTACTAAAAAAGGGAAGAAAAAGCTCAAATTCATGCAATAAGAAATGAAAAAAGGTGAAATCACTACAGACTTTATATAAATACAGAAAATCATCAACACCTATTTGGAAACCTCTACTCTCAAAGGTTTGATAACACAGAATAGACAGATTCCTAGAAACATATGAAGTTCCAAAGCTAGGTCAAGAGGATGTAAAACTGCTGAATAGCCCAATCTCTATTAATGAAATTGAAAATGTAATTAAGTCCTTACCTACAAAGAAGAGCCCAGGCCCAGACGGATTCACTGCAGAATTCTATAAGAAATACACAGAAGACCTAATGCCGACACCCTCAAACTCTTCAAAGAAATTGAAAGGGAAGCAATTCTTCCTAAGTCATTCTTGGAAGCAATTATTACTATATTACCAAAACCTGAAAAAGACCCAACTAAAAAAGAGAACTATAAAACAATCTCCCTAATGAACACAGATGCAAAAATCCTCAATAAAACATTGGCAAATAGGATGCAGCAAATCATCAAGAACATTATACAACATGACCAAGTGAGATTCATCCCAGGCATGCAGGGATGGTTCAACATACATAAATCAATAAATGTGACCCACCATATCAATAAAACCAAAGTAAGAATCACATGATCATTTCTATAGATGCAGAAAAAGCTTTTGATAAGGTCTAATATTCATTCATGATAAGAAGTTTACAGAAAATTGGAATAGATGGTCTTTACCTCAATATAATAAAGGCCATCTATGATAAACCAACAGCAGTATTATACTAAATGGCCAAAAATTGAAAGCCTTTACTTTAAAATCAGGCACATGACAAGGATGTCCTTTATCACCTCTCCTATTTAATGTAGAACTGAAAATACTAACCAGAGCAGTTAGACAAGAGAGAGAAATAAAAGGGGTAAAGATAGAAAAAGGAGTTAAATTATCATTGTTTGCAGATGACATTATACTCTACATAGAAGATCCCCTAAACTCCATTGAAAGATTCTTAGATATAATAAATAAATTCAGTAATGTAGCTGGATACAAAATCAATACTCAGAAATCAATAGCATTCCTATACACTAGCAACAAAATCACAGAGAGAGAAATAAGAGAAGCCACATCCTTCACACTAGCAACTAAAAAATGAAATATTTAGGAATTACTGTTATGAAAGAAGTGAAAGATCTATACAGGAAAATCATAATACACTGAAAAAAGAAATTGAAGATGACCTTAGAAAATGGAAAGACATTCCTTGATCATGGATAGGAAGAATAAATATTGTGAAAATGGCCATTCTCCCAAAACTCTTACACAGATTCAATGCAATCCCAATAAAAATACAATGAACATACCTTATAGATCTAGAGAAATCACTCTGAAAATTAATCTCGAGCAAGAAGAGACCTAGAATAGCAAAGACAGCTCTAAGCAATAAAGGCAAGGCAGGAGGCATCACAATCCCTGACTTAAAGTTATACTACAAAGCAACAGTAGTAAAATCAACATGGTACTGGAATCAAAACAGAGCCGAAGATA